CTACTAACTTTGCAAGCTTTTATCTTAATGTAGGCGCTTAGGTGTTTAGTTTTCTCTTAAATAGGGTGGGGTTGTTGCAGAGCGTTGGTACATACGTCAATATGGTGTCGATGTAGACGGCACCAACGCATACAATATGGTTCTCGGTACCTTCAGACATGTTTCAACGCGTGAAGCGGTATGCGCAAATGACCGTGGTGTTGGCGTCAGGTGGAGAAGATTTAAATGTGATAAGTTTGATAATGTGGAGCTGGAGTGTTGGAGGTTGCGACACTTGACGTAAGTGTCGCGTGCCCTTCCGGCGCGTTGGCGCGCCGTCACATGTCGGTCAAACAAAAAACACAACTGTGTTACCAGATGGTCGATTAGCCAAGACGTTCGCTTTCAAGGAATCTGTGCCCAAACAATCAAGTGACATTCCAGAATATTTCACACCACCGTCATCTTACCTTTGGCTATCCAGACCCTGCAGCCCCATAGCCTCTTTGGTAGCATCCGTTTTCTCGGCCTCGCCCTTCTCCCTAAGTGCTACCTTCTCTACCTCATCGAAAGCCTTGAGTGCATCGCCATACTGTTCAAAGACACCCTTCCTGTAGCCATCACAGATCTTTTTGACAAAGCCCTCCTCATTCCACCGCGCCTCAAGGAAATCCTCAAACTTCTCCTGTGGAGACGAACGTTGTACGCCCCAGGCAGCTTTGTAAGCGGCTCCGAGAGCGCAAGCATTTCCTCCAATCTCAAGTTTGTATACACCATCAGAGCCACCAAGAACTTGACCGGCAAGTTCGGCGATGGCGGGGTTCACGGCACCACCGCCAACCATGTAAATTCTGCGGGGTTGCGCAAGGAGGGAGCCCTGGGGTTCGACAAGGGACTGAGAGCGCAATCTCAATGACAGGAACTGCGATTCGAGGATTGCACGGGCGTCGGCTTGGGGAACGGGCCAGGATTTGTCCTCTGTCTTGCCTTGGGCACCTTCTGGTGCTATGGGCGAGAGCTGATTATCTTTGGAAAGGAATCGCCATGTTCCTGCCTTGACGTTTGGTACGATTTCTGGTCGGGGGAAGAAGAGACCTAGACGCATGGGGTCGGAGGGCTTGGCTTGGCCAAGTGCAGGCGTTGTGAGGGCTGTCTCGTTAAACTTGTCCCAAGACTTGTCGGATGAGCCTGAGGCTTTGTTGATGGCGTCGCGGATGTGCTCGCGTGCTAGACCACCATTCTTGTAGCAGAGCATGAACATGTAGAGGCCTGCTGTGGTGGGGTGGTTCATGAAATGGTATGCTGGGTCGGGCCTATACTGGGGTGTAGACATAAGGAATGTTGTTGAGGTCCCTAGCGAGACGATGGCGTCGGACGCGCGTAGAGGAAGGGCGAGGATGGTCGATGGGTTGTCACCAGTGAATGCAATGACCTGAGCCGACGATGGGAACCCATAGCGCTTGCTGAAGTATGGCGAGACGGTACCGAAGCTTGAGCCACCATCTTCCGGAACACTTCCGAGCTTCTTCTTGAGGTCCTCGACGCCGTCACTCCCTCCAGCTGCGAGCGCAAGGAGATCCTCATGCCAGCGACCATTCTTGATGTCCCACAGGTTTGCTCCGCATACGTCTCCGATATCGATGGGGGCGACTTTACCGAGAAAGACGGAAGCGAGGAAAGAGGACACGAGAGAGATGCGAGCGGTCGCTTTGTAGGCTTCGGGGTATTTGTCGTGGAAGCGAAGGATCTGAGGGCCACTGAAGCGCTTTATTGTGTTAGTATGGACAAAGACTTGGAGAGTGCTGGAAACTTACGTGATGGGCGCTGCTTCCAGTAGCTAGGGCCAGGTTCCTAGGTTCTTGCAGTGTCGCATCAAAAGCTTCGCACTGCTTCTGTGTACTTGCGTCCTGCCAGTTTGGACTGAAGGGGTGGCTGAAGGCACCCTTCCTCTCGCCCTTGGCACCGCCTTCCAGCTGCTCGAGCAGTGTCTTTCCAGCATCCATACTGCCAAGTAGTGTCTCTGCATCGTTGCTCCAGAACACGGTACCATGTTGCATACCCGCACCCGAGATACCCTGGATCTTGGAGAAGTCGGCACCCTGCTCCTTCAATCGCTGCAGGACAAGATCAATGGCTTCGAGCCACAGGGCGACGGGCGCGAAAACCTCGCCCTCGGCAGGGTTTGTGAGGACACCCTTCTCAATGCCATATTTGGAGAGATCGGCATCGAAATCGACTTTGGCTTCGTGGATAAGTTTGAGATCGGAACCGACGATGATACCTAGAACACGGCAGCGTCAGTCCAAGCTGGAAGACCAGATGGTGGGGTAGCTCTAGCGGGGTATTCGCACCTTTGAGTTGCTGAGTGCTCAAATCGAAGCCCAAGAACTGATCAGCCATGGTCGAAGTGTGTCAGTGCCGTTTCGAGCTGTGAGGGTAATGTTAGGGTGTTATGTTGACGAGACATGGCTAGAATAAGCAGACCATATCTCGTAGTGTTAGAGGTCCCTGCCTCACATCCACGATACGGCTACGGCACACTTACGCAAGACCCACATTGACGGACGCGCTACATCACAGGCAATTTTGCCGGCGGTGCCTGCAGAAGCGCCAGTACTTTGGCGTGGAATTATTGGATGGCGGATAAATTCGTGCCGAGACATCGTGAGTACAGCTGTGACTTCCCGGAGTTGCATCTCGGCCAAACGCCGATGCCATCTAGGGAATTTCGTTAGCGTGGGGAAGTACGAGTCTAGAGCGTGGGCCGGGGTTGAATTCAGGTGATGGATATTCAGAATATATACAAGTGTCCGATGTCTCGCATGTGCCGCCGGGTAGTTGCATTGCCCAACTCCAGAACGCCCAGCTATGCTTGTCTATAGGTGTACACCAATCATTTCCTTCGCCTTGCGTTGCCATCGGTAGTTTCGTGATCGTGATCGTGGTCGTGGTCATGTTCTGCCTCGGATCTTTGGCTCGCCGCCGCAGTAGAGTCGCCAGGGATGAACTCGTCGAGAAAGTCTGGTGCTTGCGCCGAGTTGGTTACAAAGCGCACGCGCACCTTTTTCACGCCGCGCACATTGACACCGACGCGGTCCCGGATTGCGTTCTCAACGTCGCGTGTCTGGTCAACAGTCCAGGTGCCAGAGACGCCAATCTCGATATCCATGAGGTAGTTTTGGCCAGCTTTGACACCCTGAATCGCTCGCACATTGACTGGCTCTGATGCGGTAGTGACATCCTTGACAGCGTCAGTCGCTGCTTTCCGCACGTTGTCCTTCATCTCCTGGTCTACGCCGACGTCTGCCAGTTCGAGTAGCGCTTGCTTAGTGTTTCCCCAACCAGCTTGGACAACCATGAGCGAGATGACAAGCCCACCGATTGGGTCTAGCCATTTTGCATTGTTGAGGACGTTGGAGCCGGCGATGAGGAGGAGAGCGACGAAGGCAGTAAGGGAGTCGACACGGTGGTGGTAGGCGTTGGAGGCGAGGACCGTCGACTTGCGCTCTTTGGCGATCTTGAGGGCTGGAGTGGGTGTCAGTGGGCGCTTGCTATGTTCTTATGGGTGTCCTTACTCGCTCTGTAGAGCCATTCCTTAATGACGATTGAGCCAGCAGCAAGCCATATAGCATTGATGTTGGGGCCCAAGTCGTCGATGCCGTGGTGGTGGTGGTGCGGTATAAGCCCCCATTGCTCTGCTACCTCGGCGGCTTCTGGGAAGAACTGCTTGCAGAGGGCAAGCAGCGCGGTCCAGCCCATGAAGAAACCGCCTGCGAGCAATATACCACTAACCCCGAGCGAGCCCAGACTCTCCACCTTTCCATACCCGCTGGGAAAGCGGTCCGTAGGGGGCTTGAGGGACCAGCCAACTGTTGCCAGCGTCATGATGTCGCTCACGAGGTCGGTGAGACTGTGGATGGCGTCGGCGATGAGTGCTGGCAGGCGTTAGTAGACGTTTGTATCAACGCGTCTAGCCATCTCACCCTGACTATTGAAGACGTAGCCTCCGAAGCCCTTGCTGACAGCCATGCCCAGGTTGACGTAGAGGCCAATCTTGGTAATGCGCACGCCGGCGTCATTCTTGTTCTTGGACAAGAGGAAGGTGTTGTCGTGGTTATGGTGGTGATGACCGGCGTGGCCTCTTTTCTGCGTGGCGCCCGTCATGGTGGAAGGGGAAAAGAGTGGTTTGCGATGGACGGTCGTCGACCAATTGCGGAGAGGCGCTGTATGCGACGGGATGGCGAGGTACTGGGCACCTTTGGTCGTCGTCTGCGTGCACAGGACGCGCAATTTGGGGCGGCAGGTAGGAGGTTTGTAGGCGTGACGTGATAGGACGTGTCGTCGCACCGAGGGTTGCGTAGAGGAGTCGTGGAGTGAGACGCGTGCACGCTGGCTAAACTGGACACGCAGGCCATGTCCATTGCTGCAGGCGGTGCGCAGTAACATGGGATGTGGTGGCAGCCGTTGCGCCTCTCAGTACTGCGGGATGCCTCAATGCCACTCGCTGCGAATACTTCCAAGACAATTTGGAGCCTCTTTCGCGGTTGCTATCGGCCCTCGAGCCTGGCCTCTCATGGCGCCTTTTGCGTCAACACACGGCAATTGTGGGGGCGCCACCATCCGTCCCACTCAGGCAAGATGCACACTACCGCACTTCTAACAGCAGGACCAGGAGAACACAATGCCGGTGTATATTTCCAATCTGCAATCTATCTCATGCTTTACCTACCACAGGTGAAAAAGGGGATAGTTCAATCAATAGTGATGACTTCTACTGTTACCGATCACGAACGTTGCCAAATTTAACAACCGCACACTATGTCATTGCAACCTTCATGCATCACTCCCGTGCCGTCGTCAATTTCCTGCAGGGACATGGGCCTGGAGATCCTCCGCCTTGCGCCTCGGGAGCCGCGCGTGTACGTACGAGTTGGGCCAAGCAATGCACACCTAAAGATAATCGTATCGTGATTACGTTGCCAGCGCGCTTGTTTCCTATTCTAGAGAGCTTCTACACAGATTCATAGCCTTGGCTTCGCACTATCGTCACCCACAGGGTCCGTCACGCGAGCCAGTACCCAGTTTACGACGTCGTCCCGGAATACATCTTTATCAGGACTAGGCTCGTCGTGTACTGACAAGGTTAGTGCCAATACCATGGACTGGGTCAGACATGTACTTACAGCGATGAAAGTGTCCGGCGTACGATTTGAACTCCTTGTCCTTGACTTGCAAGGCATCGAACAGGCGTTTCGACGCATGGTAACTAGTGATACCATCTTGCTCGCCGTGAGCAATCCAGATCCTCGTCACGCCACCCTCTCCGACATTGTCAGGTATGATGATCTTCCCACTGGACAAAGCATTGGTTCGATCGAGCAATCCCGCGAGCCCCTCGAGTGTGCCGGTATCGTGGCAGAGCTCGTCTTCATCGAACCGCTTGCAGACCTCCGGGTCTCGCGAGATGAGTTTTGGATCCAGTTTGTTGGTCAACTGACGCTTTGCCATGAGCTTTCCAGCGACCCTACCGAAGAAGACCGTGATGGGTGATGGCTTGGACTTGGGGTCAAAGTCGATAAAGGGCGACTCCAAGAGGAAGCCGCGAATGTGCTTGAGCACCTCCTCCGGACCCTGTGCGGCATAGCAGAGCGTTTCACCGCCACCCATGGAATGCCCCATCATGAAGAGCGGGACAGGGCTCGGGATCAATGTCTTGATGAAGGAGGTAATGTCGTCCAGCACCTGGGTAGTCGGGCCCGTGTCTCCTCGCTCGGCGTGTTTTGCTACAGATCGGCCCCATCCTCTGTGCCTTGTCAGTAGTGAATATTGGAAGCAGTGCACGTGCGCACCTCTGGTCGAACGTATAAACTTCAATGCCTCTAGACGCTAGATGGGGGAAGAAGTCGCCGTACGTGTTGACTTGACCTGTGTCAGAAGGGAGTTATTCATGTAGCTAGATGGTCTCACCGTGCTAGAGGCAACGTTAGTCATGCATTCAGTATTGTGTCCATGGGAGCCGTACGTCTGAGAATCCGTGGATGAACACAAGTCGGGCTTTGGCCGGACCGTCCGTCTGCTCATTGCGTTAATGTCGATCTTATTGCTATGGCTCCACCATACCTTGAATGTCTTCGTATATAGCTGCTTGCCATCAGCCAAGGCATGGGTGCCTTCCTCGACGGACATTGTGCCTGAATCAGGTAAGAGTTGGAGATATTGGAGGTGTTTGTCGGCTGAGCAGTAGAGTCAGTGACGATATGTCGTGTGTTGGGCAGTGCACGTGCAGACGAGTTCGTGTCAAAGGAGGATGCAGAGCACTGTCTTATGGTGTTCAGCTCTCCGGTGACAGCCGCGGCTCCCGCACGCGTCATAGCTTGCTTAGTACACACCATGCCCAGGTGCACTCGCACATGTCAAACGCGACAGCTCAGCGTGCGACACGATGACAGTCAGCCCATTCTCGGAGTCTCATGGCCAATGCCACTTGGCTATATTTGGAGGCCCGAGATGATGCCGATGCCGTGGTGAGGGTGAAGTCAGCTAGCCTTAACGGCTGTCGTCCAAGCTCCCGCCCAGTGGATCATCCTGCATAACGCATTGGACCCCTCTACCTGGTGTCCCCACTTACATTTTCCTCGTGGTAAGATACTTTCTTCTTGCTATGAGCCTTCCTGCCCGTCGACTCTTGTCCCATCACTCATTTCAGCGACGACTCTCCTCGCAGAGAAGCATGCTGAGCAGCATGCCACAAGCTCGCTCAGCAAAAGCGATCCTAAGCCACCAAGAGCGCACCGCGACGGAACCGCGAGAGAACGACCTGCACACGGCCACCGTCGCCAAAGTCACGCCCGTCAACGACCGGATCAAGCGCTTTAAATTCGAAATCAAGGAAAAGGACGGCTTCAACGTATGACGATCTCCATCTCGCTCGCGACATGCGCTGATGGATAAGTCAGTTCCTCCCCGGCCAATGGCTTGATGTCTTTGTGCCCGATGTAGACAAGGCCGGTGGCTTCACCATTACCTCGTCGCCCTCCGAAGCCCTGCCGCGGTCGGATCCCGATTTTGTTCCCTACTTCGAGCTAGCTGTCCAGAAGAGCCCTAATAACCCGCCGGCCGCATGGCTGTGGCAGCCGGCGGAGGAGATACTAGGCAAGGAGGTCACTGTGCGTGTAGGCGGAAGCTTCGTGTGGCCTCCCCCGTGTCTGGACATGAAAAAGATTAAGCGCGCCATCTTCATCGCTGGAGGTGTCGGAATTAAGTGCGTCCAGCTCTGCCGTGACCAAGTCGCACGCCTCGCCCGCTAACACCCCACAGCCCTATGATGTCAATGATGACCTACATAAACCAGAACTACCCGAACCTCGAAGTACGCTTCCTATACTCTACCAAAGTCCCTTCGCGCGAAACCGACCCGAGCGAAGTCCTCTTCCTGCAAGATGTGCTCGACCTGTTCCGCATACCCAGATTCAAGGTGACCAAAGACCGCCTTGAGCTTTTCTTTACAGGCACGTGGGACGGGTCTGAGATGGGCACAAATGAAGGTGACTTGATACATCCACTCATGTCTCTGACGCTGCCGCAAATTGACTCGGCTACCGAAGTGCCAGTGTGTGCCTGGACGCATCGCATTGACGATATTGCCCTCTCTAGCGCAGTTGGCAACAGGAAGGAAGCCCAATCCACCGTCTTCTATGTCTGCGGGCCCCCAGACATGACCGACGACATGGTGAAGTTTATCAAGGAGCAGGATAATGTCGCTCCAGAGAGAGTTCTGTGCGAGAAGTGGTGGTAATGGAAAGGTTAAGGTAATTTACCATTGGATAGTTCAAGGCGATCAATACTAGGTTTTGCATTCGACAATGATCCCGTCGCTGCGGCAAGCGCTGTTGTATGTGCGACGCTCACACCATTAACTCGAATTTACGCGCCCACAAAGACCGTAAATTCCAGACGGCTCGTGATAGTCGAGGGACTGCTCCACTAGACTAGCTCCACATTTCAAAACTCAGTCTGGGAACCATGGCCATCAACGTTATTCGCGCCACACGCCGTTTCCTGTCCGCGGGCACTGTACGGCACAGCAAGCGATCGCTTGCGTTGTGCAACCCCGCGATAAGGCCTTCCACTTCATCCGACCTCTTACCTTGGAGTTCTATATTGAATTACCCGATTTGTCGATATTAACCCACATTCCTCGGTACAAGAGCAGGGATGGCGCAAGGAACAAGCCGTCTAGCTCCCGCATGCAGCGCCGTCCTGCAAGTCTGATTCGCCGTCACACCTAACAAGCTGTGTGATCGCGCAGCATGCGCGTGCCACTCAGCGCCTGCGATGGCTCTTTCGCCCCTCAGCTCCCTCACTGGCGTCGGCTAAGATGGGGGCTTACATGGCTGTTAAGAGCGTGAAAGGCCCCGGAGAGCTGGATGCTGATGCTTTTCTTGTACGTCCGGACCTCGAGCACGAACAACGACTGTGTGCGACCATCGGAGGCTTTTGGTAGCATCTCCAGCTATCGACTTTCGGTTAACGACAATTGCGCAACAAGACTGGACGGCGCATTTCAGCCTTATCCCGCAATCGCGATTCCTCCGAGCGCAGCTGAAAGCGCAGCATCACGTATACGGCAACGCCCACCACCGCACATCACCGTCAAGCGTGACGGCTTCGAACGCCCGTCATGGGTTTTTTTATATCGCGAACATGGCGCCTGCCGAAAATCATCTACTTTCTCATGATTTTTGAACTGCCATTCACTGTGGCCAACCTTGCGCTCTTCGGTATTGCATCGCCGAACCTCTATCGCACCATTCTATGGAGAGTGGGAGGCGAGTTTGGCTTCAACTCGAAGCCAAGTACCGTTTTGTACGCGGCTGCAAACTACCGACCAGTAGATACACCTCTTGTATGGAGTAGCTTGTAAGTAGCATACCGAACCAACACTGCAGTCCATATCCTTGCTATCATCCCACCCGACTTTAAAACCTGAATAGTGTACTGACAATCACAGCAATACCCAATATCACCTCGTAATCGGCGTAGTATGCATGTTCTTCTGGCTCGTCAAAACAACCTTATGGCTCCTCAAGGTCTTCTTCCCAATCCTCTCGCTCCTCCTCCACATCGCACTCATGGCCCTATGGGCATACGGCATCCACATCCAAACCGCGCCCGACACCATTGACCCAGAGCACGTAAATAACGGCGCCCCCTGGTACCTCACCAAGAACTGCAACATCGTGGACGACAAGCACATCAAGAGTTACTGCATGCAAGCCAAGAGCAGTTTCGCCGTTAGCATTATCATGCTGTACGTCCCCTACCATCCGTAACCATCCGAGTAAAACGCTAACTCTACCCCAACAGCACCATCTACGTCGTCTTCTTCACCCTATCAGCCTACTCCCTCATCCCAACCACCGCCCAGAAACAAGCGCACGCCGCCCGCAGAGCCGAAAAGAAAGCCGAGAAGGAGAAATGGGCCTCATCACCCTACGACAACGAGATGACTGCCGACGAACAATGGCAGCACATGTGGGAACTCCAACAACTACCCCGTACACCCGGTACCATTGGCGGCATGAAGTCACCCATGACACCACGCACACAAGCGTTCAACAACCTTGGCGGCGAGGAGGCTGCACACGGAGGAGGAGGTTACTACAGCAATGTGCCTGCGGGCGGGAACGGCTGGTATGGGCCGCCGCAGCACCAGCCAGGCTCTATAACCATCAGCCCGGTTATGGAGCAGGACGAATATTACTCGCCACATGAGGGCAAGGGGAAGACACCGGGTTGGGGTGGTAATGCGTACTAAGCACTTAACGCTTATCGACGTGCAATCATCTTCTTTCCGTCTGGGTTTGGCGTTTGAGCGTGGTTGTGTTTTTCTTTTCGATGATACCAAATCTGGGAACTGGGCTTTTCACTCATTATGGGGTGTGAGAGGTGGAAACGGATTATCTATCCATTTCAATATGTAACGTTACGTTTTCTGTGACACTGGAATCGATGGCTATGTTGCGACCTTTGGATAAGCTCGTTTGTGTGTGATTAATGCCATGACCTATTGGATGATGGGACCGGGAGAAGAGATTGTGAGGACTGTAGCAGCTGAACTCTGGACGTGCACGTATGCAAAGCCGAAGATGGGTATCAAGTGACCAAGGCGTAGTGAATATCAGGTGTAGGGTGGTTTGACAGGGTTTGGATCGTATTGGCTGTGCCAAAGGGCTGAAGGACGTTGTGGTCTTCTCTGTCTTTCGCGCTTGAGCCTTGTCGGGACTGGGAACATACACCTATCGACGATGATATAGTGGCTGGATGAAGCCGTACTCATGTCGCTAGTAGACGTGATTTTGTAGGCTTATAGGTTCCTGCCGCATGTGGTGACACGAGACAAGCGCGCAGGAACTGACCCCGCTTCCTGCATGCACACCCATAGCCTCGATATGTTTTATTGTTAACAGCGTTGTGGGGTATCTTAGATCTAAAAAAGTTAAGTCTTAAACAGGTAACAGCCCTCTACTAGGTGTCTCGAAAGGCGTAATTAAGGTGTAACACGCACCCGAAAGGTGTGCGCGAGGGCGCGCTAAGCCTTTCTGGCTCAGCGGCCGACACATGGCCTCGATAACGAATTGGTTCCTACTTTTTAGATAGCTCTAGGCAGCTGCTCCTGCGTCAAGACCATGTACCCGTCTTCTTCCAAATGTTCTACGACATAACCCGTATGGTTCGAGTCCTGCCAAGATGTTATGCGCCAATTGTTCAGATATCGATCTCATTGCGATCTTGCAAGGCAATCACGAAGGCGTACCGCTAAAGAAGGGACATGAAGTGTGGATCACAAGATCTTCTGACCCTACCACTATCTGGATATGGAAGTCGCAGTCTGGTTGCGAGTTCTGTGAGTTCATGTTGGCGACAAAGGCCAACTTATTCCCGCGAAACGACTCGCTACAACCACGCTATCTCCAACTTGACCGCGGGAAAAGCCTGATGAGGGTATTTACGAAGTCTGGGCCCATGACGAAGCTGTCGTCTCATGTCAATATATTCTATGACTTTGAAGACAGAAAGCCCGAGCTTCAGGTTGCTAGCCATCCTAGCTTGGTAGTTCCTTTCGGTGTGTCCGCGGAGATCAAAACTCCAGAGCTTCAACCGTCCCCGCTACGAGTAAACGAAGT